ACACCCTGCTTGCCTCCAGGGTGCCCTGGTCTTCTTGTGCTTCGGTGGTCTTGCTATGGAGAGCGCGGCGTGCCCACACCGAGAACCAATGGGCGTCCCCTTGGGTCTCAGGGGGTGGGTTTCCTGTGGAGGGCTTCTTTGTGGACTGGCCTCCACTGCACTCGAGAGAGGGAGCGGCGCCGCCAGGGCGTGCCGCGCAGGACCCAGGAGTCCGGCACGGGCTTTGACAAGAGGTCGGAGCTTTGCAAAGTGCTTGCTGCGCCTGAGTTTAAATCGGGCACGTCCCTCTACAGGAGGACTGTTCAGAAACAGTCCAACAAACCAGTCCGGAGACGATCTCTCGATGATTCCTAGGCTATATTCGAGCATGTTTTGACCACGTTTTATTTTTCGTCCAGGATCCGCCTGGTGGGGACATGCCCGACCTCATCCTGGGTAACTGCGTGCGCCAGGGCTGGGCGGTGCCGCGGTGCGCAGCCGCCGTGCTCTCGTGCAGCGGGGGGGGGGGGCCTTAGACCGAGACCCGAGACCGCGGCGGCTCTCGCGCGCTCGCCCGGCAGCGGGGAGTCTGTGCCAGGAGGCGCCCTGCGTTTCGCCTCCCCGGGGTGCCCGGGGGTCGACGGAGCAAAGACGCCACGAGCACACCTCGGGGGCGGAAAAGAGGGGGGTGATGACTAGGGGGGGGTGGATATCATGGCGGGGGCCATGATGTTTCCCCAGATTTCAGGGCGCCTCTTCTTGTTTCATTACGTCCCTGGCCCCCCCGCTGGGCCGCGCACATGCCGCGTCATGATTTGCGCCCCCCCCTCTTGGACACCCCCCTCTTGGCCGCTCCCGAACACCGTGGGGGGGGCCCGTGCCAAGGAGCGCCCTGCTTGCCTCCAGGGTGCCCCGGGGTTCTCGGGCTTCGACGGTCCTGCGGTGGAGAGCGTGGCGTTCCCACTTGTTGCTCGCTTGTGGACGACGGTCAATGGAGAGGAAGCGTGTTGCCAATCAATTTCCGGATGCCTGACACATGTCTTAAGCATGTCTGAAACATGTAAAGAAAATGGTGTAAACATGTTTAGGACAATTGTCCGACATGTTAAACACACTGTTGATTCGATGGTAGGATTCTTAGGGTGCCCATTGTCATGCCATCCACACCTTTTTGCCTCCTCAGGGTGCCCTGGGTCGAAGGAGAAAAAACGCTATAAGCATAAACTTTTAGCGCTCCGCACGGATTTCTCGGAACCGCGCTGGGTCCCAGAGGGCGGCGCGCGCCAGGGAGGGGGCCCAGCGCAGATCAAAGAATCCGCGCGGACCTTCACCGTTTATGGTTATGCCGTTTTTTTTTTGTTTGTTTTATTGGGTTTCTTGGGCTTCGATGGTTTCCTATGGCAAGCGTGGCGTGCCCACAGCAAAAAGGCAGTGGACGTCCCCTGGGGTCTCAGGGTTGGGTTTCTCGTGGGAAATGCCTTGTGGTCGAGCTCTCCTACTGCTGTGGAGGACGATTCATGGAGAGGAGGTATACTGCCGAGTGATGTGCAGATGCCCAAAGCATGTTCAGCACATGTTCCCGAAGTGCCGAAGCGCGGATCGAGCATGGCTCGAGCGGCTTCATAAAGCATGCCGAGCACAGCCGACAGACTGCCCTTGAGCTCGACGACAGAGCGGTGAGGCTGCCCACTGCCATGGCCTCCGCACTCCTGCTGCACCCCCGCTCGAGCTCTGCACCCCCGCTCGAGCTTCATGAAGCATGCCGAGCACATCCGAGAGACTGCTCTTGAACCCGACGACGGCACGGTGAGGGGGCCCACTGCCGTGGCCTCCGCACTCCTGCGGCCCGCCCGCGCGAGCTCTGCGCCCCCCCCCCCCCGGGGGCCCCTCCCCGTGCCCGCCTCGGCCCGCCCGCCGCGGCGGCGGCGGCCGCGGCGGCGCAGAGCCGAGCCTCCCGGGAGGGCCACGGGGCGGGGGCGGCCGCCGGAGCCTCAAGAGGCCTGGCCACGCGCAGAAGGGGGTAGGGGGAGGGGGGAAGGCTTCTTAGAGGCACCCCCGCTTCTGAGAAGGCGCGGGCCTTCACTATAGATGTAAGGCCGAGGCCTTCTAAGAAGCAGGGTGCTTCTAAGAAGCCTTCCCCCCTCCCCCCTAGCCCCTTGTGCGCGCCGCCAAGAGGCGGGGGGTCAATGCAAACGGCAGGGGGCCAACTGCGAACCCTACCACTGCCCCCCTCAGATTTCATGGCGCCTCTTCTTATTTTATTACGTCCCAGGCCCCCCCGCTGGGCCGCGCACATGCCGCCGGTCATGATTTGCACCCCCCCCTCTTGGACACCCCCCTCCTGGCCGCTCCCGAGCTCTGCCCCCCTCCCCCCCCCCCGGGGCCCCTCCCCGTGCCCGCCTCGGCCCGCGTGCCGAGGCGGCGGCGGCGCCGCGGCGGCGCAGAGCCGAAAAGCTCCCGGGAGGGCCGCGGGGCGGGGGCGGCCGGAGCCTCAATGAGACGGGGGGTCCATGCAAACGGCAGGGGGCCAAATGTCTGGACGCCCGAAGTGGGTACGGAAAGAATGGGCACCATGCCCAACAGCAGGTCCGGTTCATTTTGGACAGGACTCGCTGTCCGCGTCGCCGCGGCCTGTGTCCATTCGAGACAGAAGGCCGCCTGCCCAACAGCGGCCGCTGTACCCATTCTTTCGGTACCCATCTCGGGCGTCCAGAAAGTGCGAACCCTACCACTACCCTCACGATTTCTGAGGGGCAGGGTGGGGTTCACCTCGCTCGGGAGCTCCCGAGCGAAGGGAAGCCCACCCTCCGCCGCAGAAATCGTGGGGGGTAGGGGTAGGGTTTGCATGTGGCCACCTAAACGGGGGGTCAGCCAGGGCGCTGGATCCTGCAGGATCCTGCGAAGACGCCCTCCTAGCTGACCCGGGTTAGCGAGCCGCTCGTGGCCGCGAGGCGGCCGCGCATATCGGTTGACCCGGGTTGGCGAAGCACTGCGTTGCAATTGTTTGTTCTTGCGTTGCAGTTTTTGGGTTTCCTGCTGACCCGGGTCTGGATTGACCCGGGTCAGAAGATCCCCGACCGAGCCTCCCGGGAGGGCCACAGGATGTTGAACGAGAGCAACGCTTCAGTCGGGCACGTCCCTTTACAGGAGGAGCGTTCAAACATAGTCCCCACAATAGTCTGGGGACGATTTCTCCTATGATGTTTGACCATTTGGGAGCATCTTGTTTGACTCTGTTTTATGTTTCGTCCAAGATCCACTTGTATCGCAGGCCTCGAGGTTGACACCAACACCAATATCGGCGGCGTGCCGCCGCCGAGGGAAGAAGATTCCGATCTCGGTAATGGTGGTCATATTCCGGCTTCCAAGGTGGCCGAACTATTGCCACCAACACCGACATCTAGGATCATCTTCCCCCTGTGGAGGCCCCCCCCCCTGCGTTGGTGTTGGTGCCCATTTCCAAGCCTCCTAAATTCGAGCAGGGGATCGACTCCAGAATCGATGTGTGCCAACACGGATTCTGCTGAGCCCACGAGAGACCGACGTGGGAGAGAGCGAGTGGATCTACAGCGCATTTGTAGCCATGTTCCGCGGGCTCGACGGGGAATCAGGTTTGGGGTACGTCGATTCTGTAGTCGATCCCCTACTCGAGAACCCCAGGCGCGAACCCGACACATGCATGTGGAATGGACATCCGAGCGATGACAAGGGACGGGTTCCCCTCCGAATGCCCAGAGGAGATACACGGACCGCCGCCTCCCAGGAACCCATCGGGGGGGTTGCCCATCTCTGGGCGGTGGCACGCCGGAGCGTCGTCTGGTACCGAGTGACGCTCGGGCGTGCCTGCGCCCACGGGTGCCCCCCCTCCCCTCGATGGGTCCCCCTGCGGAGGTCGAGTTTTGCGGCGGCTCTTCCAATGCAGCCGCATGTCGCCAGGACGCACTGGCCGGGCCTCATCCTCTCAGGCACCGTCGGAGGTGCCGTGCCACCCGCCCCTGGACCCCTCTGTCCAGCGCGCGGTGGCGGAGGTGGTGCGTGGCGCGGCTCCTGTCCCTCGCTTGAGGCCCTTGGACGTAGTCTCTGTTCCGAGACCCCCGACGTCATGCATTCTTCAAGACGTTGACCCCCAGCGGTCTCGACCCATTCCCCGGGTCGGTTCTTCATCCCGAGCCGTTTTTTGACGGCTCCGAGGCCCGGTCAGGGTCCACAGAAGCCGAAGATAGCGACAAGCCTCCCGTCGTGATTTTTTCATGACTCGAGGGGGTTTGGGTTTTGTCCTCTGAAGCACAGCGTCGGTGGCAGCGTCCGCTCCCCGCGGGCACCCCGCCGTCGCCGTCGCCTCCCGAGCCGCGCGGCGCCCGCGGCGGAGGCGCTGCCGTGCCTCCGCTGCGCCGCGGCCTGCGCGTGGCCGCTGTACCTGCAGCTGAGCCAGGCGGCCCCCCCTCTGCCCTCCTCCTCTACCCTCCTCTCTCCTCCTCCTCCTCCTCCTCCTCCTCCTCCTCCTCCTACTCCTCCTCCTCCTCCTCCTCCTCCTCCTCCTCTTCCCTCCTGCTCCTCCTCCTCCTCCTCCTCCTCCTCCTCCTCCTCTTCCCTCCTGCTGCTGCTGCTGCTGCTCCTCCTCCTCCTCTTCCTTTATGCTGCTGCTCCTTTTCCTCCTCCTTGTCCTCCTTCTCATCCTCCTCCTCCTCCTCCTCTGCCCTCCTGCTCCTCCTCCTTCTCCTCCTCCTCTTCCCTGCTTCTGCTGCTTCTCCTCCTCCTCCTCCTGTTCCTCTCCCTCGGGCAACGCTCGGGTGGGAATCGGCTCAGGCGGAGCTTCGAGGTTCGAGGCGAGGTCCTCGAGGCTCAAGGCTCGAGGCCTATCTGGCGTTTTTTTGGTTGGTCCTCGACGGCTACCCGGCCTGGGGGTGCCCTGGGGGCTCCCAGGTCATCCCGGCCCGGCCGCTGGAGGCCGGCGACGTGACCCGAAAACCATTATGGGGTAGATTCACGGGGGGGGGCGCAGAGCAGGCCAGCCACAACCTGGGGAGCTGTGGTCCTCACCCCCTGGGGGACCCATCGATTTCGACACCCATCTCGAGAGATCATCGTCGATGCGATGGGTTGCCCCAAGGGGGGGGTAAGGACCACAGCTCCCCCAGTTATGGCTGGTCGGCATAGGCCCCAGTCGTCCATGGATCACCGGTGGGGGGCTCCGTGGCCGCTTTGGCTCAAGCAATCTGGGTCCGAGGCCGAGTCTAGGCCCAATAGTCTTGCTAAGCAATTTCGCGCGCCGGCGGCAGTGAGACACGGTAGACATGTCGAAGAAGACCGCTGTAGGCATCGACTTGGGTACCACCTACTCTTGCGTCGGAGTGTGGAAGAACGATGGCGTCGAGATTATCGCCAACGATCAGGGCAATCGCACAACGCCGTCCTACGTCGCCTTCACAGACTCCGAGCGCCTGATCGGGGACGCGGCCAAGAACCAGGTGGCCCGCAACCCAGAGAACACGGTCTTCGATGCGAAGCGGTTGATCGGTCGCAAGTTCGCGGACCCGATCGTGCAGGCAGACATCAAGCTATGGCCTTTCAAGGTCGAGGCGGGCACGGGCGACAAGCCCATGATCGTTGTGACGGCACAGGGCGAGGAGAAGAAGTTTCACCCCGAGGAGGTCTCTTCGATGATCCTGCTCAAGATGAAGGAGACTGCCGAGGCGTACTTGGGGGCCAAGTGCAACGATGCTGTCGTGACCGTCCCAGCCTACTTCAACGACTCTCAGCGCCAGGCTACCAAAGATGCCGGGACGATCTCTGGTATGAATGTTCTTCGAATTATCAATGAGCCTACCGCGGCGGCGATCGCGTACGGCCTCGACAAGAAGGGCAGCGGCGAGAAGAACATCCTCATCTACGACATGGGTGGGGGCACCTTCGACGTCTCCCTGCTGACGATCGAGGACGGCATCTTCGAGGTGAAGGCGACCGCAGGGGACACACACCTCGGGGGCGAGGACTTCGACAACCGCATCGTGGACTTCTGCATGCAGGACTTCAAGCGCAAGAACAGGGGCAAGGACCTCGCAGGCAACCAGCGTGCCATCCGCCGCCTGCGGACGCAGTGTGAGCGCGCCAAGAGGACCCTCTCGTCCTCCACGCAGGCCACGATCGAGATTGACTCGCTCTTCGAAGGTATCGACTTCTCCTGCTCGCTGTCGCGCGCCCGATTCGAGGAGCTCAACATGGATTACTTCCGCAATTCTATGGGCCCCGTCGAGAAATGCCTGCGCGACAGCGGCATTGATAAGAAGAACGTGAACGAGGTCGTTCTGGTTGGTGGTTCTACGCGCATCCCGAAGGTGCAGGCCATGATCCAGGAGTTCTTCAACGGCAAGGAGCCTAACAGGTCCATCAATCCGGATGAGGCCGTGGCCTTCGGCGCCGCAGTGCAGGCGGCCATCCTCACCGGCGAGGGCTCCTCGCAGGTTCAGGATTTGCTGCTGCTCGACGTGACTCCGCTGTCGATGGGCCTTGAGACCGCCGGCGGGGTGATGACCAAGCTGATCGAGCGGAACACGACGATTCCCACCAAGAAGGGCCAAACTTTCACCACCTATGCCGATAATCAGCCGGGCGTGCTCATCCAGGTGTTTGAGGGCGAGCGTGCAATGACCAAGGACAACAACTTGCTGGGCAAGTTCCACCTCGACGGCATCCCGCCCGCCCCGCGCGGCGTGCCGCAGATCGAGGTGACGTTCGACATCGACGCGAACGGCATCTTGAATGTGGGCGCACAGGACAAGTCGACTGGCAAGTCTAACCAGATCACCATTACCAACGAGAAGGGGCGGCTGTCTCAGGCCGAGATCGACCGGATGGTGCAGGAGGCGGAGAAGTATCGCGCCGAGGACGAGACGACCAAGCAGAAGATCGAGGCGAAGAACGGACTCGAAAACTACTGCTTCACCATGCGTAACACCTTGCAGGAGGAGAAGCTCAAGGAAAAGTTCGAGGATGGAGACAAGGAGAAGATCGAGAAGGCGGTGCAGGATGCCCTCGACTGGCTGGACAAAAACCAGCTGGCCGAGAAGGACGAGTTCGAGGGAAAGCAGAAGGAGCTGGAGGGCGTCGTCAACCCCATCATGATGAAGGTGTACCAGGCAGCGGGCGGTGGCGAAATGCCGGAGGGTGGCATGCCGGGCGGCGGCGGGAACGCCCCAGGCGGCGGCGCGGGGCCCACCGTTGAGGAGGTGGACTAGGCCTTCCGTTTGCCGCTCATTTTCGGCGCAGGGGGGGACGCCGTGCATCCTTTGACCTGCTCGGCGCCCCTCAGCGGCGGAGCAGAGTCGACCTCGCCTCGGCCGTGAGCTGCTGCCCGGCCGTCCGGCGGGACAGCAGGGCTTTGCGCGTGCGCGGGGGGCCGCTGGCCACAGACCCACAGGGCTTCGCTCCGCCTAGGGGGGAGCGCTGCCTGGGAGAGGGCGCAACAAAACAATCACCGATAGGGGGCCGATGCTCGGAGGAGAACAATGGCGTACGCAGAAACAGTTGGCGCTCCGCGCGAGTTTCTTGGATCCGCGCAGAGCGCGGAGCGCCAACACTTGCTGCTTCTGGCGTTGTCGGTTGTTCATCATCTTCTTATTATTGTTGTTATGTGTGTTAATCTTCTTCTTGTTCTGCTTATTCTGCTTATTCTGCTTCTTCTTCTTCTTCTGCTTCTTCTTCTTCTTCTAGATAATCCACCCCGCCCAGGAACGTGCGGATTCGCTATCGGAGGCACATCGGAGATGTGTCGGCGATGCACCGCCGATTCCTGGCCGATGTTCTCCTCATTCCCTCTGAGCTGGTCCCACAGCGGCCTTCCCCCTTCCCTCCCCGCGCCCGGGGCCAGTGTGCGACCTCGACCCTGGAGGATCGAGGCCCGAGGGCCCGGGGGGGCTCGTCGACGGCCACCGCTTGGGGGCTCGTCCTTCGGGGACCTCGGCAGGGGGTGGACGTGGAGCAAGCTGGGCCCCGGGGGGGGGGCACGCACATGTCCTTGGCATCGCTCGGACGTGTGCGTTTTTTGCTTGGCGAGGACCATCGAGGAGCATCCTTGATCATTTCGCGAAGAAGCCACGCACGAAGCCGAACAAAAGCACAGGGAATGGACGTCCGAGCGATGGCCAGTGTCCGCCTCCGCCTCCTGCCGAGGTCTGCGGAGGTCGATCCCCCGGGCGGGGGCCCGGGGCAGCCTCCCGCCTCGCACGAGGACGGGGGCTGCCGGTCCCGCTTGGGACCCCTCGGGGCGTGCTCGAGGCCGCGGCGGGGCGCCCAGCGCCATCGTGGAGAGGCCGCACCCCTGTTGGCGGCGCGCAGAGGGGGGTAGGGGTTGGGGGGAAGGCTTCTTAGAAGCACCCCTGCTTCTCAGAAGGCGCGGGCCTTCTCTACAGACGTAAGGCCGAGGCCTTCTAAGAAGCAGGGTGCTTCTAAGAAGCCTTCCCCCCAACCCCTACCCCCTGTTGCGCGCCGCCAACCCTGACCGGGCCTGGGGGCCGGTTCCTGATCCCCGAGGCCAGAGTTGTGGGCAGCGCTCACAGGGTCGGGGTGTTGTCAGGAGGGAAAGAAGCACACAGACACAAGGAGTCGTGGGCTCCCAGGAAGATGTTGGAAACTATTGGAAGTGGGTGGGAAGGCGGAAGCCCTGCAAATATGGAAACTATGGGGAATCCTGGGATTTGTGTCTTTATATATATATATGTGTGTGTGTGTGTCCTTGGGCCCCTTTATGTTGGCAGGGTTCGGCAGGTCCGCGGACGAAGACGCGTCGTCCCAGGACGCTCACCAGAGCGCTCTCGAAGGCGCTCCGGGACGCCCTGCAGGGCGTTAAATTTAAGCGATTTGCTAAGTATAGGCTGATTTGAAACTTCAGGTGGAGACATTTGTAGACATTTGTCTTTTTTCCCCCTGGCGACAACAGGCTTGACTCCGGGATGGGGGTGCGGTCTCGTCACGATCTGCGCTGGCGCCCTCCGAGCGCCCGAGAACTCCTCAGGAACAGCCAAGGGCAGCGCAGAGATCAGCTCTCTACAGGGATCCGCTAATGTTTTTGGCGGGCCGTTCGCCATGCTACGGATCTGCCAGGGCCCGTGATGGATAGCCACGGATGGCGTAGCGCCACGTAGGGGATTGCTGGTAATGTAGTGTGGTTTTGTTCTCTCCTCCCTCCTGCTCTTTCTCCTCCTTGCTCATCCCTCCTCCCTCCTCCTTCCCCCCGTCGTCGGCGTCGTCGTCGTCGTCGTCGTCGTCGTCGTCGTCGTCCTCGTCCTCGTCCTCGTTGTCGTCGTCGTCGTCGTCGTCGTCGTCGTCGTCGTCGTCGTCTTCGTCGTTGTCGTCGTGGTCGTCGTCGTTCTGCACCTCCTCTCGTCGTCCTCGTCCTCCTCGTTGTATTTGTAAGGTGCTTCGCGCAAGGGCAGATGTAGGACGGAGGGAGCTGGTAGGTGGCGGCGAGGGAGGCAGGGCATGGACGAGACGACCTGTTCGATCACCCTTGTGGTCTCGGTTCGTGCACTCCTCGTCCTCCTGCTCCTCCTCCTCCTCCTCCTCCTTCTCCTCCTCCTCCTCCTTCCCCCGCTCCTCCTCCTCTTCCTCCTCCTTCTCCTCCTCCTTCTCCTCCTCCTCCTGCTCCTCCTCCTCCTCCTCTCCTCCTCCTCCTCCTCTTCCTCTCCTCTCCTCCTCCTCCTCCTCCTCCTCCCCCCCTTCTCCTCCTCCTCCTCCTCCTCCTCCTCCTCCTCCTCCTCCTCCTCCTCCTCCTCCCCCTCCTCCTACAGCCTTTTCCTCTGCATTCCCGCATCTCCGAGGCAGCTGCACCCAACGAGGCGGGGCACCTGTCCTGTGTGCCTCTTGTCAGGAGGCCATCTGCACATGACGTGGCCGGCCTGGGGCGAGAGCCGGGAACCCGTGTGGCCGCGTGCCTTGCCAGGGTTCGGCCCCCGTGTGGCTAAGTGGCCGCCAGCCCTCCGCACGTGCACCCGGCAACTGGCACCGGCATGTTCCGAAGGTGATTCCGTCCACGTGTGTGTCCTGAGCTTCCTGGAATGCTTCAGCCACCCAGCTTCAGATTCTCGATCGTACCCCGGTCACCCTGAAGTAGTTAGGATGCGATCGCGCTGTGTTGCCAGCCACGGTTTCTAGCATGAGATGCATGCTCGGGGTGGGGTTGGAGCCGACAAGTGGCCTGCGTGTAGTCGAGGTGGCCACGCCACTCCGCACGCCCCAATGGCCTGCGGGCGCCGCAGCGCCGAGGTGCACGCAGAGGTTGCTGCCGCATCCGTGGTGGGTGCGCACGCTGTTGTGCACGCGACCATGGAGGTTCACATCTGTGCTGTGCGGTGTACACGTGCGGACCACTTTGCAGCGCAGTAAAGAGGAAGAGGGCGATCAGGGAGGAAATATGAGGAGGAGGAGGAGGAGGAGGAGGAGGAGGAGGAGGAGGAGGAGGAGGAGGAGGAGGAGGAGGAGGAGGAGGACGACGGCGAGGCCACGGCCCCGCCTCACACGCCTCCTCCCTCCTCCCTCCTCCGAATTCCCTCCTTCTATGTTGTCCTTTCGCGAAGCACCTTGCGATGCAATGAGGGGAGCGAGAGCAACGGGAGGGGGGAGGAGAACGACGGCAACGACGGGTTGAAGGAGGAGGGAAGAGGAGGGATGTGAGAGAACGAGGACGAGGGAGGGGAGAGGAGGTAGGATAACCAGACTCGATGGTGAACAGGCCCTGCCGCCGTGCCCAGGTTTCCGTAATTCTCCCTACCCAGTGCCCATCCACAGCATGGTGCACGCTTTGCCATGGCAGATTCCTACGGGCACCTTCTGTCCGATCTGTCCTTCCTCGCCTCTGGCGCCAGCGCGAATCGTGACGCGACCACGGATGGGGGGGGAGCGCCAATTCCAGGGCTGGCCGCCGCCGAGAGCGAACGGGGCTGGGGCGGGCGGGGGGCGGCGGCCTTCCGAGAGGGCTGGGTGGGGGGGTGCGATGGGCAAATGTCCCACCACCGCTGCCATATGTAGGACGGGGCAGAAGGTAGGATGAGGAGATCCTCCTCCTCCTCCTGCTCCTGCTCCTGCTCCTGCTCCTGCTCCTCCTCCTCCTCCTCCTCCGCCTCCTCCTCCTCCTCCTCCTCCTCCTCCTCCTCCTCCTCCTCCTCCTCCTCCCCCAAGTTTTGTGCAGAGCTCGTGGCTGTGGCTTCCGTCCAATGCCGGCGGTAACGGCACATTTCATTGCGCCAAGGCAGTCCCCCAAGGCCCGCGCGCATCGGCGTCGCGCCCCCCTGCCTTGTTGCCGGTTCGTCCGAGGCTGGCGCAGGGCGGGCCGCGCGCTTGTGCTCGCGGGTAGCGTTCTGTGGTGGGGCGTACGCACTGCGTCCGCCTCCTCTGCTGTTTTTTTATTAGTGCTGTGCACTCCCCCTCTTCGGGTCTTCCGTTCCGTTCCGTCCTCTCCTCCTCCTCCTCCTCCTCCTCCCTCCTCCTCCTCCTCCTCCTCCTCCTCCTCCTCCTCCTCCTCCTCCCTCCTCCTCCTCCTCCTCCTCCTCCTCCTCCTCCTCCTCCTCCTCCCCTCCTCCTCCTCCTCCTCCTTCTCCTCCTCCTCCTCCTCCTCCTCCTTCTCCTCCTCCTCCTCCTCCTCCTCCTCCTCCTCCCTCTTCCACCCATGGTAGTGGTTGTGGAAGATGGGCCCATCAAGGGGGGGATCCTCCTCGGAGCCCCTGCTGCCTTCGACCGCGGACGGCGCGCCGCGCGTTGCCAGGGCCCGGAGCTGGCGCGGACGGCGCTGCAGCTCGGGCTGGTGGCAAGGGGGTTTGACCCAAATGTTAAGTCGGGCATGTTCCTCTACATGAGGAATGCTTAAACAATAGCCAATCAATTGTATGGGGGACTTTTTTTTGTTGTTTTTGTTTGTTGCTTGGGTTTTCTTATATATATACATATTTATATACACAGTTTTTAATATATAAACAACAGAACAACACGTTGAACTTTTTCCTTTCGTCCAGAATCCGCCTGCAGGAGGACATGCCCGACCTAACCCAAACGGGGGGTGACGAAAGGCCCTAAAGTGGCCCTTCAGGGCCCTTTTGGGAGCCGGCTGGTGCCCAAGAGGTGCCCTGAAGGGCCCCTGTAGTGTCCCTTTCTTCATCACCCCCATGCGGGTCACCCCCCAGTGCCACCCGCCCGAGCAGGCCTGCCTGCGTGTTCTCGGGCTCCACTCGTAGCCCGTGCGGGGGGGTCCGTTGGTGCCGTGGCCATCGAGACGCCCCGGGCGTCACTGCTGAGCAAAAGAACCCCGACCACGGAAGGTCCCGGCTCTCCAGATTTTCGGGCTGGGGAGGCGTCGGGGTTCTTTGGTGTTTCTCGATGTTTCAGAACGCTCCCCAATTGGAAATTGGCAGGCCCAACGTCGACTTCGGGTTGGGTTGGGGTGGCTTGGTAGGTAGTCGAACCGTTCCTGTGGATTTCACGTTGCGTTTGTTCGCTGTTTGAACGTGTTCGCCGTTGTCACATCGTCCGTTTGGAGCCACGACAAGTACAATGCGCGCTTTCGCATCGTATTCCTTCTGAGTGTTGGTCTGGCTTGCCACGCTAGTCCTCGCACAGGTTGTTCAAACATTTATTGGGCTTTTTTTTGCAAGCGCACCCGCAATCAGAACCGCGCGTGCACAGGGGGCTCTGTCAGAAATAAACAGGAATTATCCGAGGCCTCAGGACCCCCTGGGACAACGTAGTCTAGCTACTCGAAGCTGTGCGAAGTCGGATGATTTACCCTGGGTCTACGTGTCCGACCCACATGAACGTCTTAATCATCACATATCGCAGCTACACAGAGCAACAAGGCCGCGCAACACTGCGCAACGTTGCCCAACACGTCGCAACACCGCGCCCTTCACTGAGCGGCGCTGAGCGGCGTTGCGTGGTGCAGGCTGCCGAGTCGTGTCCCAGGGGCTCATGTGGATCGGACACGTGCGGCATGCTAGCGTCGGGTCGACGCGGCGGCCACCTCCGCTGCGGGCGTGCTTCAAGGTAGAACACCGCTAGTGGCCAAGAATCAGCCAAAATGGAACGGTCTTGCGATCAAAAAGCAGCGACCCCTGTGGAGTCAGACCCCACATCGGCGCTCGTATTTGCGTGGTCGAAAGTGGTCGAATCCGGCGTAATCCTGCCGAGGCCGGCTTCATCCTGGCTGATCCGGCCCATTCCTGGGCTTCCTCTTGGGCTCATATCTGGCGCAGTCGCTCCGCAACGGGCCTACTAGCCCTGATAACCGTTCTTGCGCATACCTCCCAGGAGTTGCCTCTAACGTTGTAGCGAAGTTTCCCCGAGCTCCCGCTCCTCTTCCGGTCGGGTGTCGCCAGAGTTGCCCCCGGCCCACGGTGGCGCCTGGATTTCTGAGGGGGCCCCCACGGCCTCGGGAGCATCCCCTACGAGGTTCGGAGGGCCCCAGGGGCTCCAAGATCGAGCGGAAAGCTGGGGGCTCCTGGGGCCAGGGGCACCTTGCCTGCAGTTCGGCCGCAGATTCATGGGAGCTTCTGTGTGCCCTCTGAATTCAGGCTCTCGAGTGCGTGAGCCTGCGCCAGCGTTTGGTAATCGATGAGGAAGCGCCGATGTAGCATGCATTCGCGTCGACTTCGCGTCGATGAGCGTCGTCTGGCGCCGCTTAAAGCTTCGGTCAGCGTCGGTCCGACAGTCGACCCGCGGGAGCCGGCAGGATGGCACGGGAGGCTCCCACGACCCGGACCCAGGCCCCCGACGACAGCTGTTTTTTTCATGACGTCGACTCCCAGAGGTCTCTGCTCGTTCCCCAGGCTAGGAAGGCACCAACTATACACCAACACCGATCCTGGCCAGGATCACCCTGGGCCCAGGATCGGTGTATACGCCCTCCTGCCTTGCGCAAGAAGGCATATACACCGATCCTGGGCCCAGGGTGATCCTGGGCCAGGATCGGTGTTGGTGTATAGTTGGTGCCCTCCGACAGGCAGCTCTTCTTCATCCGAGTCCTTTTTTGGACGGTCCCGGGGCCCGGCAAGTAAGGGGCCCCCAGAGACCGCACACGGAGAAGAGCCTCTCCCGTCGTGCCTCCCGCGGCGGCCAGCGACGGGGGGGAAGTGAGCCGGAGAAGGCCTGCTCAGAAGGCGGCGGAGCTCCTCAGAAGCCTTCGGGCGGCGGCCTTCTGCGAAGTTTTCCCTGCGTCTTTCGGGAACGGCTCCTAGGCAGCCCT